CTAACCTTATATATCCAAACAGCCAGCTGCAGACCTCGAATTCTCCGCCCGCTCCTTCGCCCTAAACAAAACATCCCCATCCCCATCGCCTGAATCCCTTCTCCCCTCACTATCCCTTCTATCGCGCTACCTTTCCCTCAACCCATCCTCAGCACCCGGGCTCCACCTGTCCAGTCTCGTACACGAAACACTCGGGCACCTCGATACAGCCCTAACGCTGCTCACCTCCGCCATAACCATACTCGAGACCGCCTACGAAGAAACCGAGTCCCCCGAGATCGAACGCCAGTACGTCATAGCCCAGTCCAACATGGGACGCATGCGGAACAGTACGGGGGATTACGCAGGTGCTGCTGAGGCTTTCGAGACCGTGATAAATCTCCTTCCCGAAAGCGAAACCGATGACTCGGAAACGAGGGTCCTTCGCACTCAAGCTCATTTTGGGCTGGGCCTGGCGCGGTTGAGGCAGGGCTTGGAGTTTGAGGGTGCGTTTGGGAATGCGCTGGAGAGTGCTGGGGAGGATTTGGTGTTGAGTGGGCATGTTAGTGTTCTTATGGCTAAGACGATGTGGGCTCTTGGGGATGAGACTTCGAGAGATGAGGCTAAGAATATGCTCCTCCAATGGTATAGTCTTCATTTAACAGTACGGTGGATTAGTTCTAACTGCCTTTTATCAGTATAACGAACGACCCTGAAAACCTCGCCGCTATCAATGCTCTCGCGGCAATGGGTATCCTGACGGACGATGAGAACCTTGTTGATGCGGCTCTGTCAGAGATCCTCGCTTTGCCTCGGGAACAGCGCGCGAGCATGGACCCAGAGAAAGACGTGGAGTATTTGCTCATGAAGCATCACGAAGGACTGGTACGTCTGCCCTAACATTTAGTAGCATTCCGTTTATTTATCGTAACTCATTACAGGGAGAGGACGCCAAAGTGATGTCCCTAGCCCAACAGGCCATCATCTCTGAGCCCTCGAGATCACAAGCAAGGATCGATCTTGCGAAATTGACGATGCAACGAGGCTTGTACGAAAGTGTGCTTCCCATAATTACGGGACCATCGACGTCGACGCTTGACGTGCAGCGGAACGAGATAGGATTGAGAGCCATCGCGCTTTCGATGTCTGGTGCGGGGGAACTGGCCTTAAGGGAAGCTCAGAAGGCGGTGTTGTTGGCGCCGTGGGATAAGGAGAAGTGGCTGACGTTGGTTTATGTACGATCAGTTCTTGAATGAAAAAGTAACGTTTATTTAGGAAGGCGTGGATTCACATTTCAAAGTGAGCGAAATTGCACACCGCGTATCGATTCTCGGCGGGAAACCCTTCTGTCTTGCAATAGGCGCCGTATGGTAACTGTGAAGTTTGACTCGACCATTTATGTTATGCCGACTTGGAACCACGCTGATGGATTTGAAAAATGCAGGCACTGGAATTTATGTCGACGATCATAACTTCTAGGTTCTTTGCTGGAGTTTCTGGTTCTTACTCCGGGCGGGGAAACATTGCATTCCGATGGAGAAGGGAACTGGGGATCCGTCCAACACAAAGCTGGGTACCACTAGGTCCTAGAAGTTGCGAATTTTCTGTCAGCCTTAAAATTCAAGCTCGTAGATTCGCGACTATCCAAGGCCAGGCTCCGTGATGACTCGGACGACCCGCAAACACTAGGTTGTAACACGTAACACCCTGTGGACGTGTCGAATGAAGATGACTATTGCAGCGCTTCCATTTCGCTGGGAGGAAGACTGGGGGGATTGGGGTATTTCCATTCAAGGGCCCGGGGTGACTGCTGAAATTTTCTCCAGGAACGGGATACTTGCGTTCACAGCGGCAAAAGACCTAAATGAGAGAGCATAATACTTGTGTTTATGAAGGGTGAGATTTTCACTGGGGTGCAGGAGCCCTATAACTATTACAGAGATGAACCCATCCGATTCTTCACAAGATGGGCTTCAAGTATACTAGTAGACTTAGTTTCTCGACCAAAAAAAAACGGGTGTAGTAGATATTACTCTGGACGTTTGCATGGCTTCTTCGATGGTGTAACCTGCTGATGTCCATCAAGCTCCCTAGGACGTTTATGACGACTGCATCCCTCGTCTCCGGCTAACAACAAGTTAGCGAGTGACATTTTCGATGGGGCGTTTATAGGAGGAGTACGACGAGAGATCTTACCAGACAGTTAGCACCTGAAAAATAGAATGAGAACGACGAGCACGAGCTCACTGATTCTTGTTTCTCAGCGACTGAAACACCCCGAGTGGATACCTGATACAACATAAGCTAACGATATGCTTCAGGAGCCTGAGGGTAGAGCTTACCTGTTGTACAATCGCTGCGTTTGCAACAGTGGTCATGGAAGCGGCGGTCCGCTCTACTGACATTGAGGCATCTTGCCAGGTAGTGTCACTCGACTTTCCCACTGGGTGAACACAAGGGCGGATATGGCGGCACGGTGAAGGACCCTCGCGAACTAAGCGTGCACTTCGCAGAGAGGTTTTCGCCCCACTGACGGTTACCTCATCCGGAAGATTAGAACTTGAGGGATTGGTCGGAGTAGGATTGGTTGGGTCGGCAGGTGGGGACGGCGGCTCGGTCATATGAAGATGAAGAAGGAGGTCTGAGAGCATCTGCGATTACATGTGTCACTCTGGGCGAATACTTGGAAGAAGTCCGATAACCATACTTTTAGGGCCGTTCTCATCCAACGGCGCAACGATGCTCGGTCTCGTGAGTCTGTAGTTGGAGTGCCCAGCTTAGCGCACAACGCGTGCCGAAATCGATCTGTATAAGCAGGAAAAAGGCCGTAAAGAAAGGCATCAAGCAATGCTATATCCCGACGTCGAATAGCGCGGTATACAGGGAGGACGTGTCTCGCCCAATTCACCTGGGCTTGTTCGTCGTTGATGACGGACATCCTGAAGTATGAAGACAAGTGGTCAGCGAAAACGTCTCTTTATATGTTGACGTCCCGGCGAAAAATGTTGGCCTGGGAGGGAATGCGGCTACACGGTTCATTGAGCATTTGTATCAGATCAATATAGCGAAAATAGTAAAAATGAGCACAAAAAGGTAAAGCGGCAAATGAAGCCGTCGGCTTATAGTCAAAGAAGGTGCATCAGTCTCTTGTCAGCTCACAACGTCCAACTCTCTCCGTACGGATCGCCCTTTTGAGAGGTCTGAGGCGAAGTACGGATCCAGAATGCCAAAATCCAGAAAATTTGGATCAATCGTAATAGGGATATTCGGGTCCGGATCACAGCTAACAAGTAGTCAGAACGTGCTGCAAAGCAAGATTTCCACATCGCGATCCATAGTTGCACATGCACAGTATCTCACCGTTGACAACGTTGAAGCCGCGAGGTCGGCACAGTAATCGCAACTCGACAAAAGCAGCACATAAAGCAGTGTCATCGTAGCCGGTACTGTTGTGCGTCCAAATGCGAAGCAGTAGTCGCAACACACTTCCTGCCACATGAGGACTTTTAGGCCTAGAGATTGAAGGAGAAATCATACAGTTTTCAACTGCCGATGCGGACGATGCGACGGCTATTTCACTGACTTCACGTCAATGCGTCCAGATTTCTAACGACTAAAAACAACCTCATTCCTTCCGACGTACAAGCCATCTCGTTCGCCGGCATGGACCGCTATGAGACTTATTCTGTTCATCTGTATCAATCTTATTGTTGAACACGTCTGTCTGAAGCTGCAAACCAGACACGTTGACATATTGGGTCTGTTTGGCTGTCAAGTTATGAGGACATGTGGCGTAACGAGGGACGGCGTATACTGCGGACGGTAAGCGTAGCAGGGAGAGGGGTAAGCGTCTACGTGGAAGAGGGAGAAGGGAAAAATGTAGATTCGAGCGTAGAGAGTGAATATTTATACGAGCGGAGGAAGAAAAGGGACGAAAAGGCGGAAGCAAAATTGGTCCGCATGTTGCCGTCATAGATGGTCATTGAAAGCAAATACGTCATAAGGCATGCCATATCCTGGCGTCGAATAGAGCGGTATACAGGGAGGACGTGTCTTGCCCAATTCATCTGCGGCTGCAGGGTTCATTGAGAATTTGTGTCAAAATGACGATCAATAGAGGTAAAAGTGAACGCAACGGTGATTATAGTCCTCAATCCTGCGTGTCATTTTCACTAAACCTTATCTGACCCTCAGAGCTATGAATGCAGCTCAACCGCTGTTATCAAGGCTGTTATAAATGGGATGTAGCACATTAAGTATGCGTCGCGTTGCCCAACAATCAGGGACTATCAGGACTCCCGAATATCCTTATTACCAACCTGTTATGATTGATCCGAAATTTCTGGATTTTAGCACAAAAAGATCGTCGTCGTAAAGAAATAACTCGTGTAGGGCCCACTCTAGGGCAAAGCCTGCTACTTTAGGTGAAAATATGCATTCAGTCCTTGGTACAATGATATCGCTCCAGTTCTCTCTTGTGTAGTGCAGAAAAATGGTATAAAGTCTTAGGCTTTGTCGGAATTTCTGCATTTGGATTTTCAGGCACGATAAGGCGGCAAAATGCATTGAAATGCCGAAAGGCAGCCGGTGGCCTGACTAGGCCGTGTCAGATGAAAGTCCGGTCCGAAAAGGCATTGAATTATGTGCCTGAAAAGGAACTAGCCTAAAGTAGAAATGCAGTAGGCTGTGCAAATGATTTGGTGCCGGGTAATGCTTCGGCCCGGTGGATCAGGCGCAAATTATGTGGCTTTTCAGCTAACTTTCAATCAGGGAGCTCCCTTATTGCGAACATTTTTAGAAGATTATTAGAACTAATTGAACATTATTAGATTGAATACAAGATGGATACAATACTGAAGTGTATTCAAAAAGGAAAAAACTCAACAACCCAATTTCTGTGAGGTTAAGCTAATTCATTTTATTAGTTTTCAAGTACACAAAATTACAGATTTATTTTGACTAAGCATACAAATTTACAATTAATCAATAATACAATGCAACATTAAGAATCAAACCAGCGACATATTATAAGTCATTACATAACAGAACAGTAACAGAAAATAACCATTACACTATATGAGCTTTAATATTATAGGGAACCAGGTTATTATCATATGCAGCTTGGTACTTGGCACACGCATGCAAAATATCAGAAAGCCGGTTCTGTCGTCATGTCATGCACAATGCACATTGGGAGCACAGGAGTATATTGCAGAATGGTCTTATAAAACACAAGTATCTACTCCTTATTCTTCCACCTCTTCATCTTCCTCTTGCTCGTCATATTCATCATACTGCGCCGAAACTGAAATAATATCTGAAGTCATCAGATGCGCAGTTCCAGCTGAGGTATGCAAGGTAGCCTCTGTTGCCCCGTCACCTTGGGTTTTCCTCCCTGCAGCGATCACCTCATCCTCAAATCTAACTCGTCGAGTACTGCGAGTTCTGCGAGTTGCGCGAGTTTCACGTGGAACAACTGTCGCCACTGCAGTTGTTTTCTTTCCCCTCTTTCCCCTCTTCTCCTTGACTGGCGCAGTCTGTTCGGTAGATTGAATCTCCACGTGTTCAATTTCATTAGCAGCTGTGATGGCTGATGTGGGACGGGTAATGGACTGGGCAGGCTGAGAAGCTGAAGCATCATGAGTATTAGCCTGTACTGCCGGTGTAATCTGGGGAGTGAAAGCCAATGATGTTGAAGTATCGTCAAAGTCGTCAGGGTCATCAGGGCTGTCTTCGATCTCCTTCATTCCTCGCCAAATCTCCTCCTCTTCATCGTCATACAGAACTGGAAGTCCTGGGACTTTTGATGCACCCACCACTTTTGGGTGAAAGACCTGTTCGTTGTAAAACTGGAAGGTGTTAGAAATAGACTTTGCACCTTCTTGAATGAGCTCCTCGATCCTTTTGAGGTAGTATTCAAAATCAGCATCGTAGTCAATGCCGGACCGGTTTCCGGGTGAGTCGAAATCACCATCTCCAGAAAGAAGATATCGAATCTGGAAATATAGCCTGAGTATAGATGATAATTTTGGATCAAAATATAAAAACACTTACTACAATAGCCACGAAAGCCATGCAGGGAGCATTGACTTCGTTAACTTCCCATAGAGTAGCATTGGTCTTTCTCATGGTAATCTTAATCTTGTCTAGAGCGCCCTTTCCCCAAAGCATGGCAAGAAGAATCTAGCTGAACAGTCAGCTTGCTGATTTCATGGGCGAATCAAAATTGCAAACCTTTATCCCCGCTTGGACTCTAAACATAGTCGCACCAGAAATTCTACCCTCAGCAAACAGACAAGGTGGAAGCCGCTTGTACTGCTTCTTGACTTCATCATATCCCAAAAGCCGCCGGCATTCCGGGTCAGTGAATCGGTCAAAGCCATTTTGGAAGTGCGTAGCAGGAAGGACCCCTTCAAATATCCTGTGTCTGACTTCTCTAAAACGATGCATCATGTTTGAGCGGCCCTCTTGTGCCTTCTTTGCCATCTATTCAATGTGATTAAGTAAATGAAATGCCAGATCATGCTCAGCAGAATTAAATACTCACTAATTTAAACATCTTATAATATTTACCGTCAAGCGTCGCACCAATAAGTGGGTGGTAAACTGGCGGGAGGTATTCATGCAGTTTGACGATGATCCTGAGTACTGTGACACAGTCCTGAAGTACTTTCTGACAGCTATGAGGAGCAGCATGGAGGGCAACAACAGCTGAGTCCAGCTTGCGAATCGCAACATCGTATTCAAGCGCAGAACCTGAAAGCTCTTTTGTCTCCCACCATATGTTTCCAAAGAAAACCATTCTGCACACAACATAATTCAGCTTGGCTTGGCTCTCCTTGGATTGAAACAAAGTTTTTGATTTTTTGCTAGATGTCAAATCACTGGCGGCAGAAGAGTCTGTAGTTGATCCAGTAGATTCTGACATGGACGAGACAGATGTGGAGATGTCGGAGAGGTTTTTGTTGGAGGGGACAGCTGTTTTGAGCTGGCGAATCTCTTCTTGGAGTGCTTGGGTTTGTAACTGCGACTCTTTAAGCGCCTGTGGTCACAGAGCATCAATGAAAAGATGACAAAATGAGTAGAAAAAGTACATACCAATACCAAGTCATTCACAGATAAGTTTCCGAGTATGTTTGAAAGCTGAGTGAGATCCATGGACATTGTGGAAGGTGGCAAAGTTCGTTGTTGTACTCCGACTGTCAATGAGTCAACTGTTCAACATTTCAGGAGCGCGTCCAACATCAGGAGCCGATGGCCGGTGACAGTGTGACGTCTTGAGGACATACAGTAAGGAGGCAAGTTCATGGAGGAGAGTTCAACTATTAGTCACAGTATATATAAAATCCAACAATTATCTATGTATAAATAGACTAAATCAACTTGCCACTGCTTGTGCCCAACCATTATACTCAAAAGCAGAGTCGTCTTCACCACTCGCCCATGAATCACCGCGATTATCTGAATGAAGCACCAGAGAGCCTCGTAATCCAGTCATGTGAAGATTGAAGTGAGTGATGCGCCCAGAAGGAAAAATGAGAATGTCCCATGGCTTCAGGCGCCATACATATCCAGCTTCATACAAACAGAGCTCTCCCCCCTCCCAATCTCTGAATGGTATCACTGCGCAAATGAGTTTATCGAACCCATCTCGATGGCCATTTGTGGAGACGCCAACGTTAATAACAAAGCCAGAAAAAGGATAGGCTACACTTTTGTCATTTAATGGTAGATGGTCGACGAATACTGTCAGTTCTTGGTAGACATCTGGTAGCAATGTTCGGATCTAGATTACATTAAAACATATTTGACCTGAGAGAAGAATATGAAGCTTACATGGTTATTCACGAATGACATGACATCCTGGAAAATCTGACCCAAAAGGTCAGTTTCTCCAATATCCTGGAGAAACTCTTTTGAATGACCAGGTGCACGTCGCTGGAAATGAAATGTCGTCTGGCCTTCCTTATGAGTGTAGTAAGGACTGGCATCATCCGGGGCATCATAACCCTGTTCACAAACTCATCAGATTGTATGTGGTTAATAGCAAAATAATCATACTCTTTCTTGGTATCGGTTCCAATAATCACAGTGCCAGGACATATAGTGATAGTCATCTCGTCGAGAATCTTCATGATCCTCAAATTCACCTTTCCACGTATTTTGTAGTTGTGAAACCACAGACTTTGGGAGATGAGGAAGATTATCGACCATGTCAGGGATTAAGACTGCTACTGGGTGTTTGTCGACGTCTTGAATGAATAAAGTCTTGCTAGAATATGGATTAACAATTATGAAACAAACATGGAGTGATATAACGTACCCTTTGCATATATTTGAGTCAACAAGGATATACGAGTCTGGATCCTTCTTTTCACCGTTGGAATCATAGAAATCATTGAGCTACAGAAGGTCAAGAGATGAGAAATAGACTCGTTCGAATGGAAAGACAATTACAGACCGTATTTTCAAGTTCAAGCAAACTCGTAACAGGTACAGCGCCAACTGCCTTGCTTCGTTCCACTGCTGTCCAGTGAGGTGCCTCTGCAGTATTAAAAGGACACCGGTTTGTTGGTACATGGAATTTTGTCTGTATAGTATGCACAGGACACATCTCATAAATACCTTTCGATGCTTCCGGTAAGGTGTACAATGGCTTAAGTTTGGACACGCTGGGCATGGAGGTATAAACTGGGTCATAAACTGCGGTCCAGAGACTGGAACGAGGTGGTAAACGGAAGAAGCTACCTCATTGTTAGAGACGTTATCAAGCCTCAAAACACCAGACTCACTTTACTTGAACCTCATCTAAGCTTTTTTGATTGATTTCAACGTCAGAAAAATGGCGCAGCTGCCATTGGCCAGTGGAGTCAGTTCCAGAAAGATATTTTGAACCAGGGCACTTCAAGCATGGTGAGTGAAGTGAGACATTGAATATGCGGTATAATTAAGTCTTGAATCAATTTATAGGCTGGTTCCCTGACTACAACACCATTCAGTAGGAAAAGATTGATCCAGAATAATACACAAACCTGTTGGAGAGCGAAGAAGGACAGCAAGGCCAGAAATATCCTCCATAGAAGAATAATCTGAACGGCTAACTTGAACCCGCATAGCACTGGCAGCCAATAACAGGAGGACAAATGGCGTTGCTGAAACGACAGTTAACAAAGGTTCAATGCAAGCTGATACAAGTAGCTTACCAGCGGCAGCCAAATATACAAGACGAGTTCCCATGGAGTACCAGGATCGGAAAGTTGAAGGTATGATCTCTGCCTCGTTGGCAAAATCAGCCATACTGAGGGAACCCAGTCTCTTCCTGTGGGCTTCCTTGCGCCATCTGAAAATAGGTGAGATCAAATGTCAATTGAAAGGGAAACAAAAAATTACCCATCACAAGTAATCACTAGCTGCAGATACGAGAGCATGAGCTTGTAATCATGGAGTCCCTCCATCTCATGAAGAATCTTACATCGACGTGCAATAGCAACGAGGGACGTGTCATTCCATTCCAACTTCTCTTTAGGTGGCTGCATAAGATGGCGTGTTATGCGACCCAAAGCTTCCACCGTTCGTTGTTCAGAGGAGACGGTTGAGAGACGAGTCAATAGCTGGAGTGAGTCTGGGGAAGGCGGTGGTAGTGTGAGAGAGTCAGTCCAAGTAACAACCCTTTTGGCGCCCTTGGACTTGCATCCTCCAGATGACTGTTTCTTCCTTCGAGACGTTGTCTTTCGTTTCCTATCTCCCTTCCGCTTCTCACATTCTCCAGGAAGGCGTGCTTCAACCACAAATCCATCTAAATCTCCGTCGGAATCATCAGGATCATAATCGTCATCTGGAACACTGACGCGAGGTCTCTTTGCGGGCGGTGCATCTGCTGAATCATCAAGTAAATGAATACGTCGAGGTGCTGGTGGATCAGGATCAGGATCGTGAACTGCAGCCCCAAGCTCTTCAACAGGTCGTGAGTGACTGATAGGGTTCAGCATCTCAGTACCACCTAAAATGCCCTTGTCGTTGGTGCTTTCGTGGTCTGAGACGCCACCACCAAAGTTATTGAAGGCCTGAGGTGGCATCACAGGAGAGGGAGAGGAAGATGCACCAAAGACAGTCACCTCTTCCCAGTCACTGATGGCAGCATTGAAGGAGGGGGTGGCAAAAGGCAGAGACAGCTTCAGAGGAGAAGAAGTCACACCGTATACAGTTTTCTCATCCTCAAAATCACTGTCTGTGCTGTCAAGTGGTGACAAGGGTGGTTGAATAGGGGATAGTGTATATTCCAAGTTGTCGTTGTGAGAGTCAATGGGAGAGTCGACGATGTCAGATGACAATGATGGATATACCAAAGTCATATCACCCTGAGAGTTGTGGCCAGGGTCGCCGAAAGTGCCATCACCATGGGCAATGGCGTCGTGGGCGTGAAAGGGCAGTGGGGCACTGAGGACCAGAGAAAACTTCACAGGGCACAAAGACATGCCAGATACAGTTGCGTCAACATCACAGTCACTCTCGACCGCATCAACAGACATGGAAGGGGGATCTATGATAGTACTGTGAGCATAAATCAGGTCCAAAGGAATTTTACGAGCCTATTTCATCACAATTCCTGTTCAGACTCATCCCTTCATTGAGTCCTGATAGCAAGGCCCTGTAATGGCTCGCGTCTCTTCCCCTACTTTCCTCTGCATTGATGAGGGTGGTAACAGATTCAACAAGGTGTTGGACAGTGTCCTCTGAAAGGGTGATTGTGATGGCCATAGTAAACAAGCTAGCCCCTGTCACAGAGTATCCGAAAGGTTGCTGCACAGTCGGTAGATTGGAGGACTGGAACGGATACACGTGCACCCAAGGGAGACAGATAAACGGCAGCACAGTTGTGCTCGACAATGTGAGCGAGGGAGGATGTTGATTGCGGCAGCGTTAGCGCGTCACGTCATGTCATGAGATATTTGGGTCCACGGTCCGGCAGAGTCTGAGAGCATGTTCAGACTCGAGTCTGTGACGCGTGGGGTCCTATTTGGCTGCAGGGTGTTGAGGGGTGAGTGCAAGGTTTGGTTGACATCACATGGTCACGTCTCCCTCCGTTTGCACACAGGAGCTGGATCTATAGACGGCTGCTCTGGGTGTCTTTCACTATGCAGACATCCTCCCTCCCAACAAATGCACACCCGGCCATCACAAGCTCTAATACTCCTACCACAAGACGTACAACCTCCCCACTTATCGTCAACGTCAAGCCACAACTATTGAACGGATGACGACCTCCTGATGACCTCCTGGCACTCCTAACCCCCATACCAAAAGACTCAACCAAACAACGAAATACGGTGATCAGACGAGACATGTGTTTGATTCGTTGGCGGCAAGTCAACGTGATCATCTTTTTCTTCTGCCATCATGCTACTCACCCCACCTCCCTCTCGCCACCGCTATCCAAGGCCCTCATCAATAATTGATAATCCCTCAGGCTAGTGGATGATGTAACACCTTTCTGTGAGTAAAATTTTTACGTTGATTTTGTATGATATTTACCTTTCATTGCAGCCGACTTTTTCACCGCTTCCAAGCTCAAGATGGACCACGAATTTTCAGAATATTTGGCCCCACGGTGAGCGAATGCATGCTCAGAAGGACTTGAGCATCTGGGCATGGCGTGGATGTGTGGGAGCCTGGAGGAGAGCATTGAAGATTCCTGGCCGTGGATGCAAAGTAAGTCCTGTTATGCGCATTGTCATTCATTTTATTGAATACATCCTTTTGCAGTACAACATCCTCTCCGTCTCCCTCAATGACTGTACATGCCGCTTCCCTGCCAACGACGGTACTACCTGCTCAAATCATGCAATTCGACCACCGGCTCTCCCCTGACACACCATACCATCTTGCCTGCCTCCCGTAGCCTCTCCTGGTGGTTTGCCAACGTGACAAGGTTATTGAATGACGCCATAGCCCTTCTTGTCGTAAAAATGGTGCTCGACGGTGTAGGCAGAGTCGAGTCAGTTGAGGGTCTGTTCATTAAAGGTAGTGCGATCCGGAGAGGCACCGGGCTGCTGTGCGGAGTCGAGTACGATGTCGTAGCCCCACTGCTCTCAGCTGTGCGAAGGTCTCCATCATTGTTCATAGCGTCGAAGGAAACGACATGACTGTCTTGGAGGAACGATGGA